GAGATCTGGAAACAATCTGGATGACTTCTAACAGCAAAATGAATAGACTGTCACATGGAGAGACTTCAAAAACTGATGGAAAATGGAATGAAGAGATGAGTTTACGGCCTGGCATTGTGGCACAGTGGGTGAAGCCTTTGTGTGCAACACTGGCATCCCATATGAGCACCGACAAGAGTCCTGACCGCTCCCTTCTGATCCAGCTCCCTGCTAATGTGTCTGGGAAAGCAGCAAAATATGGTCCACGTACTTGGGCCCTCTCCTGGTTATTGTGGGTGTTCGGTGGGTGAATCAGTGAATGGAAGATCTCTCTCACCCATAACCCTTGTCTGCACTCTTGAGGAACAGTGGTTTCTCTACTTACAACTTGTTGAATTCTTTATTTAGTTGAGGGTTAAGCTTGTGATTATAAAGTAAATTGAAAGTCTGTCATTGTAAAAAGTAAAAGAAATATAAGAAAGGAAGGAAGAAGGATGATGAGAACAAGGGAGAGAGAGAGGGTAGGGTGGGAATATTATGCTCCTAAAACTGTATATATGAAATAAGTGGAATTTGTTCCCTTTATATATTTTTTTATTTTTTATTTTTTTTTTTTATTTTTTGACAGGCAGAGTGGACAGTGAGAGAGAGAGAGACAGAGAGAAAGGTCTTCCTTTGCCGTTGGTTCACCCTCCAATGGCCGCCGCGGCCAGCGCGCTGTGGCCGGCGCACCGCGCTGATCCGATGGCAGGAGCCAGGAGCCAGGTGCTTTTCCTGGTCTCCCATGGGTTGCAGGGCCCAAGCACCTGGGCCATCCTCCACTGCACTCCCTGGCCACAGCAGAGGGCTGGCCTGGAAGAGGGGCAACCGGGACAGAATCTGGTGCCCCGACCGGGACTAGAACCCGGTGTGCCGGCGCCGCTAGGCGGAGGATTAGCCTAGTGAGCCGCGGCGCCAGCCTGTTCCCTTTATATAAATACAAAATTTTAAATCTTTAAATGAAAAAAGATAAGTTTATTTCTGTGCAAAAATTTTTGAAATCGTGCATAGCTTTTTCATAATGCATATTTTCCATGAACTTTGGGGAAATCCCTTGTATACTCAAACAATGCACTATATTTACAATATCACAAGAACCATGAGTACCTACAACCAGAAGTATGGACTGTAGTGATTTAATTTTGAATTCTAGATGGAAATTCCAAAATCAATTTTAAAAACAACTAAAATTCAGCAGTATGATTTTAGGGACATATTTATGGGATAGAAATAGAGGTACAGAAAGTCAAGTGCTGACGTCAGTCATCTAAGGAGAGAGAGAGCTGGGTGGCTCTAGAGGCAGGTGTAGGTTATTTTCTGATATTTTGGTTTTCATTTTAGGTAGTGCTTTCACGGGTGTTTGTTGAATTATTTAAATAAATTAATTTTTAAAAGCAGATTTCACATGAACAATGACAGCACATAAAAAATGAGTTTCTACTACATGTAAATAAGCAGGAAATGAAGTTGCTTGAAGTCTGAAACAGTTGAGCAGAAGAAGGATGATCAAAAAGTGAGCAGATAGTGAAGACACAGAGAACTGTAAGAGCAGGGATGTATGAGTGTGGCGGGGACCAGCCTCACAAGGTCACTTCACTCTGGTTAAATTCCAGAAAAGCGATTTTCCTAAAGCAACCTGGTCTCCTCTTCTGTATCTCAAAGTCAGAATAGGCCATTTCTGGGAGAGATTCCTTCCCCACCTTGCAGCCTGGGGTGTAGCTGAGATCCTCCAAGGGCTTCAGCATTTGCAGCTTGGCCGCTGTCCCATGGGACGTGCTTTATTTAAAGGGATCAGGAAATGGTGCTTTCAGAATATGCTTCCTGGAAACTTTTATAAGGTAATAAATCAGGAAAGGTCACCAGCCCGCTCCCACTCACCGCTGTCTTAATAAACATTTTCCATTAATATTTCATATGAAATTTATAGTATAAACACATTATCAATTACATTAGAAATGAGCTATGTCATTAATAATAATCATCCTAATAGTGATATTCTACTTGTCTTTCATTCTTAGATGGTATTTGTCACCTATTTAATAAAAGCCTGCCATACAGGGACTGAATTAATAACTTCCACTTTACGAGTCACTGAGTTTCCGAGCCGCTTCATCCACCAGCCTGAGCACAGACTCTCAGCATTACCAGTCTGGGTGTTGCCTTCACAATGCTAACCTCGCAGTGCAGTCATCTATGTAATGATTAAACAAGGTAGTTAGCATTTCCATTTCCTGAAACTTAAAAAGAAGTGTTGATTAGCATTAATAATGGTGCAATGCGATGTTTCAATGTCTACACAGGGCACAATGTGTGCTAATCAAGCCAGGGTACTTAACATTCTATCTCTGTGCAGTCACTTCATGTTTGTGGCCTTCAAATTCCTCTCTTCTAGGTTCTCAGAGAAGATTAGTTACTGTCAACTATTGTCGCCCCTGCCCCCGCCATGTGCTGTGGAACCCAGGACACATTCCTTCCTTTCATCTAACTACTCTGCTACCCATTACCAGTCTGCCCATCTCCTGTTCTCCTGGCCCTCCAGTCTCCAGTAATCACTGTTCTACATTCTGATCCACTTAGCTCTCTGTGAATATGTTCAGAGGGACACGCCTCCTCCACATTCAGAACTGAATGCCTCCAACCTCCTTAAAATGCTTTACATCATATCACATTGCTCAGTTCGTCCTAAGTGCTAATTTGTCACTTGGTAAAAGCCAAGAGCATCCCTCCTGCCACCTACCAACCCCCTGCCACCCACCGAGGGACTCCCAGGCTCAAGGCAGGATCCTGGCCTGAGGGAGCTGGTGTCATCCAGTGCAGGCCCTGCCCCAGCATGGCTGACCACAGCTGAGAGCAGGACACCAGCGTGGACACAGGCAGACTGTCTCAAGGAAGGAACCCAGGGCCCTCCTTCCACAGCAGGTTGCCCTGTCTTTCTTCAGCTCTAATGTGGTAGGGGATAGATAAACTTGATGGAGTCACAGCAAGCACCCTGGTCCCGGATGCAACAGGTGCAACCTAGGAAGATGGGTGTATCAAACCCACAGTTAAGGAGACAGAATTATTCTGCAGGGGTACAAGAATTCCAACTCATCTAAACTTTGACTAACAAGCTAATTACACTGTATCAGACAAAGAGAGGGAGGGATCTCTTCCATTCACTGGTTCACACTCCAAATGCCTGCATCAGCCAGGGCTGGATCCAGGAGCCAGGATTCAGGAACAGCATCTGGGTCTCTCAAGCGGATGGCAGGGGCCCAAGTACTTGGGCGATCATCCATTGCCCTCCCAGGTGCATTAGCAGGGAGCTGGATTAGAAGCAGAGACGGCCGGCGCTGTGGCTCAATAGGCTAATCCTCCACCTTGCGGCGCCGGCACACCGGGTTCTAGTCCCGGTCGGGGCACCGGATTCTGTCCCGGTTGCCCCTCTTCCAGGCCAGCTCTCTGCTGTGGCCCAGGAGTGCAGTGGAGGATGGCCCAAGTCTTTGGGCCCTGCACCCCATGGAAGACCTGGCTCTTGCCTTCAGATCAGCGCGGTGCGCCGGCCGCGGCGGCCATTGGAGGGTGAACCAACGGCAAAGGAAGACCTTTCTCTCTCTCTCTCTCTCTCACTGTTCACTCTGCCTGTCCAAGAGAAAAACAGCATGAAATGACTACAAGGCAGAGCAGCTGGGATGCCTTAAGGGATGCTAGCATTGCAAGTAGCAGCTTAACCTACTGCAGCCCCGACCTGATGTTCTGACCCGTGCTCCGCTGATGGCAGGATGGTGTCTTCTGATTCATACGAGGAGTCAGACATGTCCAACAAGGAAAGTTATGCAGAAAATTTTCAGCAATGGGAGGTGACCCAGAGAGGGCTTCTGGGATCGCATTGGGAGATCTGCCTAGGACGCAGCAGGAGAGCAGGTAGCCAGTTTGCCCTGCCCCTTTGTTCTGGCACCAGGAGGCCTGACGACCCCAAGCACTTACATGTTCTTCCTCCACTTGGCAAATACTGGTTTCGCCTGAGGGTCTCTGCTAAGCATGGAGACAGGACCGGGTGTGGCCACGCCCCGAGGGCCAGCACTTACCTGGGCTGCGGTTTCAGTGGTGACTGCCCCACTTCTGGAGGTCAAACCCCAGCTGTACCAGAAAACTGTAAAACGTCAAATGTCTACCTTTAGAGTTTTAACTTAAAACACACCCCTGTTTATTCTCTCACCCATAATTTGATGTTAAGCCATAGCTTTTCCAAGAACGAAGGTTGCTTATTGGAATTCCTTATCATGTTTCGGGAATAAACTAAACCCGTAAGATACTATGTTATCCTTTTCCATAAAAAAAAAAAAAAAAAAAAAAAAGCTTAAGGGCACTTAAAGGAAGTCATCCAAGAACAAATTATTTTGATATTTTTAAATCATTCACAGAATTTTCCCTATACCTCTCTCAACAAGCAATTTCTAAGCAATTGGCTTGTATTGATTCTTTCAAAAGTGGATTGTTTCAATTTTTCCCTTTCATATTTCTTCAGGCTGTGTGCTGGCAATGATTTTTCAAATAAGTGCAGGGGGATACAGAGATTTGGGCAGAAGCACACAGTCTCCTCGGTTTTGTATTGGAGGGAAGTATTCTATTTAACCTCGCCGACACTTCCCGCAAAACCACCAAGGGGAGAGGCAGAAATCTGAAGATACAAGCACACTGGCAGCCTCAGACCCAACAGGCTTGAATGGGGACCCGGCCCTTCACTTTCTGCAGCTTTCCGTCCCCAGTGTTTACTGGTTTATTTACTAGATTTAGCGATCTCTAAACAGGCTCTGGATGGGTGGGCAGGAGGGCGCCCTGGCTGCCACGGAGGACGCTGGCCCTGGTGCTCTGCTCGTCTCGGATGTTGGTTCTGTGTGCTTAGGTTTAGCTTCTGTTGGAAGGAAGTGTGTCACAAGGGGGTCTCGTGAGGTAGCAATGAGGGAACAGGCAGTGCAGTTCCATTCGTTTGGGGGAGGTAAGTAGACTGCACGTCCCTGGCCAAGCCCAGTCTGAGCAGCCCAGTGTCTGCTTCTCTTGGCAACTGCGGTGCAGGGTGCCCAGCTGGGCAGGGGCTGCCAAGGTAAGCCGGGCCACAAGGGCAGGATCTTAGAAGCCAGGCCATGGGGATAAAGGTGGATCTCACCCTGCAGGGGTACGAATCCTGGATGGTGTTGAGTCAAGGATGTTGAGTTGATCGGATTCCATTCATAAAAGTAACTCCAGCAGGGCAGCAGGGAAGGGGAAGAAAGGACAGGGAGAATGGCCAGTTAGAAGACTTCAGCCCCCACGGCCGGCGCCGCGGCTCACTAGGCTAATCCTCCGCCTAGCGGCGCCGGCACACCGGGTTCTAGTCTCGGTCGGGGCGCTGGATTCTGTCCCGGTTGCCCCTCTTCCAGGCCAGCCCTCTGCTGTGGCCCGGGAGTGCAGTGGAGGATGGCCCAAGTGCTTGGGCCCTGCACCCCATGGGAGACCAGGAGAAGTACCTGGCTCCTGCCATCGGATCAGCGCCGTGCGCTGGCCGCAGCGCGCCGGCCGCGGCGGCCATTGGAGGGTGAACCAACGGCAAAGGAAGACCTTTCTCTCTGTCTCTCTCTCTCACTGTCCACTCTGCCTGTCAAAAAAAAAAAAAAAAGAAGACTTCAGCCCCTGGCCGCCCAAGATGACAAGGGCCCACTCCAAACCACATCCACAGGCTTGGAGAGGAAGGGCCAGACCACACGGCTAACACAGAAGCAACTGCAACCTGGAGCCTCACTGGGCATGAGAAATGATGGGGAGCAGTCTCTGGTCACTCTTAGGTGTCCGGCTTGGGCAATGGGATCAGTGGGGATCCCATTCACCAAGGGGGCAAGGGGAGCTCGCTGGGGCTGTGAGTGTGCACTGCGCCCCTCCCTAGGGAGCAGGCGGGAGGGGCGGGGCCTGTAGCACCCTGGTTAGGCTGTCTTCAGCTTTGTGAAAGCCCTTAAGGCATTCTTCTGTCAGGGAGGAAACTGAGCCAGAGGCTAGGCAGCCCACTCAAAACCATGCCTCCAGCAAGGGCCAGGGCCAGGACTCAGATCCCAGCCTGGCTCCAAAGTCCACGACTTCCTTCCCCACAGTCTAACCACGGTGCTGCCAGCACCAAGCCCGTCTCTGAGGATGTCCGCGATGGCAGGACACTGGTGCAGTCTGAGGACAGAGAAGCCAGGCACAGTGTTCGCAGTGCTCAGGGAGGGCTCGAGCGATGGGACGATCACATGTCCTGAGGAAGGCGGCCTGTGGGGCCAGGGGCACCGCTGATGCAGTGGAGAAGAGGGAACTGGCCAAGAGAGACACTCTAAGGACAAGAGATCCCGTAGCCACTGACCTCTGTCAAGTTCAAGTCAGTGTGTCCATTTTACCAGCATCACATCATTTCATCACTCCGATCTGAGAGGATGGGCGGCCACATGGGAATGCAGCAGGAGATACATACAGCACTGTCTCCATGGGGAAGGAAGCCATGCCCTGCACAGAGACAGGGGTTCCCACTGCTGTCCATCAATCAGGGCTCCTGCTCTGGCCCCCAGTCCGGAATCCCTCAGACCCACACCACCCCAGGGGCACTGCTGGGGAGACAGGAGGGAGCTGTGACTGTCTGAGAGTTGACTTCATCCCTGTCAAAGACTTGTTTGACAGTGAGCTCTGAAAGTCGAGAAAAAGAATCTGCCATGGGCACTTCAGCGAGGTCAGGGTTTGGATTTAGCTGCTTTGAGTGCTTGGAAGCAGCAAGTTAGAGATGCTGAGACGCACACTGGACTTGGGATTTTACAAAGAATGGACGTAGAGGTCCAGCCCAGTGAGCTGGGAAAGGGTCTCAAGTTTTTTTGAGCTGGGAAGTGTTCCAGTGTGACCAAGCAAGTCCCTGCATTTCACAGAAGGCAGTGGAAACAGCCAGGTTTGTAAGACTTTTCTCATGGCACCAGGTTGTGCCAGAGCCGTGAGCACCTGCGGCCACAGCTGCCCTGTCTTGCTGTAGATAAATCTGCCTGTTAAAGGTGGATTGAACAGCATTTCCCATCTCCTTTTCAATGAGATTATCAATGGCCTTTCTCTGAGCAACCGCTCACATAACAACAAAACTCTCTCCTGGATGTCCCTGGAAACAGATGCCTGGGTGCAGCTTGCCTGTTATTCATCCTCAGCCACCCATGGGCAAGACGCCAGGCACTAACGTGGGCCTGGTGTTTATACTTGAGGGCTGGTGGAGCCTGCCGGGGCTCTTCGCTTCCAGAGCAGCATGCTACGAGGCCACAGGGGCCGTGTTTGTCACTACCACGGCCCAGGCCACTTGCTCAGTGTGACCTGGCCGGGTGTGTTCATCAACAGGGCCACATAAATGTGCTCTAAGGTAAACAGTCCCACAGAGCTGGGCACTAGAGGGCCCTTTCTTGGGGTTTACGGCAGGATATTCTCGCTTTAAGAACCTTCTAGCCACACACCCAGCTCACAGAGCTCCAAGTTGCCCAAACTGTGGATTCACTTCCAGGACTTTTCTCATTGTTGGTTCCTTTCTCTGAGGATTACAGGGATCCTGATATGGGATGAACTGACCCAGAAATCTAGCGTAACTGAGCCATAAAAACATGCATTTTGAGGTCTCTCAAGGGTCTGATCTGAAGCCCAGCTACTTAGATGTGACTGAATCGTGCACTTCTCGGAAGCAACTGCAGTAGTTTCAACTCCAGAGCTTCATTGATAATGGCCGGGTCATACACATTCCAGCAACGTCTGGAACCGCTTTAGAAGGCTTTGCCAAGTGTGGACTTTATGACGGAAGATGTGAATGCTGAAGGAGGAGCCAAAGAAGGGAGGGCAGGAAAGATAAAGATCTCAGAATCCAATGCAAGGCCCCCGGAAGGCCACCAGTCCAATTATCCAGATTGCCCAGCCCAGTTTATAGCCAGAGAAAGGAGGTAAAGGTAATGGCGGCAGGTTCTCAGCAGCAGGAAGAAGGGGGCCTCATGGGAAGGGAGACGGACCAACACTTTGGAAGCAATGGGTGAGTGCTGCAAGGGGCCTCCCGGAGTCCCCCAGAGCCCAGCTCGGAGGAACAGTGGGGAACACAAGGCAGAAATGCACTTGTCTTAGGGCAGCACAGACCAGGACAAATATTTGAGTTTCTCTATTTGATAGGAAGAGTCTCTGAAGCTTGATCTAGGCTACAGCATTCTGTAGCGGGAATGCAAACACAGCTATGTCCTCCAGGAGCTTACAGCTGACCAGGAAAAGTGAGCAGAAAACGGGGTGGCAAGGGCCAGCACAGAGCCTGAAGTTTTCAGGGCCCTGGAATTTGGAGAAGGCTTTCTAGGGGGAACGGCACTGAAGCTGAGATCCAGACGATGACAGTGACCTACACAAAGATGGTTCCAGATAGAAAAGTAGTTCAACATGCACTGACACCCGCAGGAGGAGAAGGCGGTCCTACTGAGGACTGAAAGACGACCCTGGTGCTTGGGACAGAGGGTTAACTGCGAGAGGGAGAGGGGAGGGCCTCAGAGGACAAGACACAGAATGCGGATTCTGTCCAGAGGGTGATGAGACACGCTAAAGAAGCAAACAAACAGGAAGTCCCGGTCACCTAAATGACGGCAATGAGGAGACACAGACAGGTGGGGTCGTGTAACATGCAGGAGATGGAGTGAGCAGAGCTAGGTGACTGCCTGCCTGGGGAAATCAAGAGGGATCCTAAAGGCTGTTTTCCAGGTTTCCAGCATGATCAACTAGATTTCTGGTAAGTTCTACTGGCTATTCCCTGTTCTCCTTCCTCCAGGATCCACACACTACCCTTCTCTGCCCTACTGCATGCCCCAAGAGGTCGGCCTGACACAGAGAATCTGGAAGAAGGTGAAGTGGGGAGATGAAGTTTTGATGTCTAGTTTGAGGCCCAAGTGAGGCTGTTGAGAAGGTAGTTCTATTTCCAGTTCGGGAACCTAAGGGAAAGTCCTTTGGGAATCCTCACCTTACGAGGTAACTGAAACCAGGGATGTGTGGCAGAGGAGGCAGAGTCAGGAGAGAGGCCTGGGGAACACCACCTTGAAAGGCAGCACTTCTCCAATCACTGACACAGAGCCCTCAAGATGCTGGCAAGTATGATTTCTTTTAAAGATTTATTTACTTATCTGAAAGTGTTACAGAGAGAAAGAGAGGAGAGAGAGAGAGGGAGAGAGAGAGAGAGAGAGAGAGAATCTCCCATTTGCCAGCACACCCCACTAAATGACCACAATGACTAGGGCTGGGCCAGGAGCTTCTTCCAGGTCTCTCACATGAGTGCAGGGGCCCAAGGACTTGGGCCCTCTTCCACTGCCTTCCCAGGCACACAAGCAGAGAGCTGGATTGGAAATGGAGCAGCTGGGAATCAAACCAGTGCCATATATAGGCTTCCAGCATCGGAGGTGGCACTTAACCCGCTATGCCACAGTGCTGGTCCCAAAATTAAAATTCTTGAGCCTCTCCTTTAAGTAGTGGGTATAAGAAGAGCGGACAGATGAGGCTGTGAAGTCGTAGTCATGGAGATGGTAAGGATACCAGGAACATGTGCAGTCGTGGGAGTAACGGGAATACAGATGTCCCAAGAGTCACGATGTTGAAAGATCATTCACTCTGAGCACTGCAGTGTGTCCACTGGATTTATTGATGACAATCGTGGGTGACCTCGGAAGGGTCGGCCTCAGAGGAGGGACACAGAGATAAGTCAGGCTGGGCTGTTCCTGCAGTGCTCACGGAGAAGTCATGCAAACCACATCTAGACAACGCATTCAAAACGCATGGCTCTCAATGGCACGGGACAGGTCCCAGCTGAAGGAGACGTGAGGAGTACTTGGGGTTTAGTTCATGTTTGCTTTGTGAGACAGGAGACATAAATCACACTGGGAGGAGCAGACAGGGAACCAGATGACGGAGCTGATTGGCTGATCAAAGTCCTTTAGAAAGCGTTCCTGCCCTTCACAGGTGAAGAATTTAGTTTAACACAGTAGGATCTATTTTTATATCAGGATTACTCTTTGATCATCAGAATCCTCTTGAACACATGCAAGACTCAGAAATCCTAATGCTTTCAACCAGAGGCAAACAAGATGCATTTGGGCTATTCGGAATGAGCCAAACATCTCTTCCTGAATTGTCTCCTCCTTGGCCCTAGCTTTTCCTTGGGGGTCTTCTTGGACACGTATAATTCCCCATCCACATTATGGAACTTGCGATCTCACATTTCCCTGGCATCCACTCTTTAATGAGCTAAATCCCTTTATCATGGACCACTCTGTATTCCAAACTGGGCTAATTTACAGTGCCCAGAACTCAATACCATACTATATTTCACAAACCTGAAGGAGACCAGCTGTCTTCACCCCAGAAGCCAATGTCCAAGTTCACAAATGTGAGAAATGTGTTGTTTTTGCCTCTGTTTATGTGACTATTAGTATTAAATACTTGACCACTATGAAATAACAAAGGGAAGAAAATTATGACCTCTTCTCCAAGAGTTGAATGGTATCATGGGAACTCAGTGACTCTGGATTCACTGAGAATAAATCTTTCCAAGCCAGTTTACTTATTTTTTCAGATTTATGAAAATATACCCATCCCTGGTAATTTCTGTTACACAAACAAAATTTAAACCAGCATTCAATGTCACTAGAAGGTCATCAAGTAATGGGATTGTGCATAATCCTGAAACTAAACAATGTTAGCACACATGTTCCCATACAATGGCATAAATACTATATGTAATGATCTGATAGCAAAACAATGCTGATAGGAAAAGCTGAGCCCTAATGATGTGTTTTGAAGGATACCATAGGTTAGCTGATACAAATGACCCAGGGGGACACTAATAGTCCATTACTGGAATATACTGCATATTTCCAGATGTTAATCCCAGAAGAAATGAAAAAATTAATTTGGCCCAGAGAAAGTATCATCTGCCTGCTTTAAGTCTATTTAACAGATGACCCAGTGTGTAAAATCAGGGGACAGAAGGTGGGGCTCATTTCAAGCACTGAGGACGGTGGTCATTCAGTCTAGTCCTCTACCCACAAGTCTACAGGAAGATACTTAAGAAAAATCATCTCCCTATTGTCTGAAAGCTCCAATCTCCTTTCTAAACTTTGGTCTGGAGGCCCCCGGCCTTGGTCAACGAAACAGCACCCCGTGGGAACTGTGCTCACTCTGTTTTACTATGGTAGCCATCACTTATTGTTTTCTAGCCAGAATTGAGTCATCTTTTTAGGATGAAAGAATCTTGAAAGGAACCACCTATTCTCCATAGTTTTCAGGATTTGCCATGACCCAGCCCTGGCCATTGAACACTGCGTCCCATGGTTACATGATTAGTTTGGGGATTACCAGAGCCAGTGGAATGCAATTCCTGGGTTTGAAGTGGATTTCAGCATAGTAAGGTAGAAAGCCCTTCTTTCTGTGGAGGTGCAGAGAGAATGGTGTGTGTGGCTGGCACTGATGGCAGCATGTACCCTGAGCATGGAGCCAGGACAGTGAGCAGAGCCAAAAGTGGGAGAGAGCCAGACCACTGTCCACAACAACTAGATCCCTGCTTCTCTGTTACTCAAGTCAATACTTCCAATTTTTGCAACTGGTTTGAGTCTAATTTATATCATCTGCCACAAACAGTGTCTGGACCGTTTATCTCACTTTGCATTCTTGCCTCTGGGCCTAACCATTTGTCTCACCTATTTACAGCTTCCTACTGGCCCTGGAGCTTGATGGCTGCCCTTACTCTTCTGATGTTAACCTTGGCCTCTCCCCAAGGCTACAACTTGTACTCATCCCTTGGACCATATCTAATTTTGGCTGCTCTGGGTAACAACCAACACAATCCAAGTTTGGCTGGGTGTTACCGCTGTGTTGCCCAGGGAACCACAGGCAGACAGAGAGAGTTCACAGCCTCATTTAGGAAACTATTCTCATGTCTGCCATGACCAACAGAAATCTTCCTAATTTCCTAACTAAATTTGTCATGGAGAGATTAAATTCCAACACCAGCTGAAGGCAACTGTACTAAGTGACTTTTCTCTCACCCCTCCGGCTGATTAGTGCCTCGCCATATTGGTCTCTGTTCCTTCCATCACAGACCCTGTCTCCCGGCCTAGTGAAGCATGTAGACAGGGACCACTGTCCCACTGTGACAGGTGGAGGCATGAAGGAAGCTCTTCTCTGCATGCCATGCTCCTGCTAAGAGCCCCGGGCCCCCACACTGACCTCATCAAGCTGTGGCTCTCCTGCATGGTTCCTGAGGCCCCTTGCATCTGGCCCACTCTGATACTTGCCTTTTGCTGCATATCTTCTCCCTTTGTACCCACTGCCCCATGCATTGGGGGGCCTCTGCTAAAGCTCTCAAGTTAGCCACATTTTACCCCAAATTCTCAACGCCCACCTGGAATCCTTCCACCTTGGTAGAACATTTCCAGTTGATGTAGCTGATCAAGGGGAAAAGAACTCAATGCGTTATTCCCTGGAGATCTATCCTGTACTTGCAGGATACTGTGGCTGGCGGGTAAAAAGACGACCAACTCCAGCAACTGAAAGTTTACATTGCTTTGGAACTAAGGAGTTACGTAACAAAGGTATTCACAAAGGGTGTGCAAAGGCAGGCTAACCCAGTACATCCCTCAGTGGGATGTACTCCAGGGCACAGCATGCTGGAGTAACCTGGAGCTCCAGGGCGCTACACTTCCCAGACAGAGGGGGCTGGACAGAAGCCTGAAGCCCAGAGCTGTGGGCCGGGGCCCTACCGTGAGCTCTCCGACATCATCCAGCCCTACCCCAACCTCCAAAGCACTTCTGTGGGCTTTCACCTGCTTGTGAGTGAATTACATGCTGATTAATTGCTGTTTAATCTGTGGTCACTCTTTTACAAATTCTTCTGCGAAGACATTTGCTTTCTGTCCCTCTTAGCCCTAGCTTAGGGATAATCGCCATAAAATAGAGTTTTAATAGACACCTGCTAGTTGATTCTCTTTTCAACTCACTGTTTAAATAAAATCAGAGAAGGACTAACTTATATATTTGCCTAAAATAGTATTGCTGTGAAAAGAAAATTGATCAAAGGGAAATAATTTTTTTCCTGAAGCACAACGAATGGAAGTGGTTTTAAGAACCAGAGACTGTCCTGCGGCAGAGATGAGCGGGTGCTTTATTTCCACTCATTCCGTCCCACCCACCACACTTGGCTGGATAACTGTGCCTGTTTACTCCCTTTTCCACATAATAAAGACGGAACTTACAGAAGCCTCAAAGAAGCATCCTAAAGCTCTGGTGCTGAGCAGAATCCTCTTCATTTTCATCATTAGAATGAAAGAGGCCCTGAAAGGAGAAACAGTGGCCACAGAGGGGAAGTGGGTGCTGGCAGGGACTCGGATGGGGAAAGTTTGTGGGAAGTCGCTGGGGGCATCTGGGGTTAACGGGCCAAGGAAAGCCGCAGGTGGTGTGGTTGTTGTAAATCAAAGCACACAGGTGTGGGTTAGAAACCGGACAATTTCCCGTCTGGCTCCCATCTGGAGGCACTGCTTCTCCTGTTGGGATTTCTTTGACCATTGAAATGAGGGGGCTCTGCTCAGCATTGTAACCTTAGGACTCTTTCTCGCTCTTAGCAGTTCGCTAAGGGAGGTGTCTCTGTGGGTGTCACTTGGGGATGTAAACCTAACACACAGGGTGTTTAACCACTTGGGACTCCAACCCTTGAGGGAGCTAATGCCCCACAGCCAATCTAAATTGCTACTTTATCCTTAAACACCTCTTTTTAATGTAAAGATTAGGTTGACCTTGAGATACTTTCATAAACCGGGTAGGGGAAGCCAAGCATACAGTTGGTCTCACCTTACAAGAGGTTTATATTCTCTGAATTCAACATTTTTGCCTTGAAGGAAACCAAGAATATTTATGAAATATTCTTGTTATTAATGAAAGCATTAATACTCTTGTATAGATATTTAAAAAATGTGATTTCCTGTGGGCACTACAGTCCTTTCATAATTAGATCTGAGTAAACAGCTGCATTTGTTTGGAAATAATGATTGCAGAAAAACTTGGAGTTATTTCCTATTATTATGTCTTTGTGCCATTGAGGATAATATCCGATCGAAATTACTATAGACCCAAAGATGCAACCTGGGGAATTTCTACCCTTGTATTGGCCAAAGTGCTACTAGTTTTTGAAGAATAAAAGTGGAAAGCTATCAAGCTATCACCTCCCAGCTAATTTTAAAAGTGAGGAGGCACCTTTTTGTTTACAGAACAAGTTTTCCGTAGTTTATTGTCTGTGCAGTCTAAGACTCACACATAGCACTGCAGGATCTCAAGGTGAATTTTGAAGTGGGCAGCCTACAGTAGGCATGAGTGAAATGCTGACCGAATTCTCAATACTTGTAAGCCTGCACTTGCCAAGTAGCCCCTTGTTGTCCACATGTAGACAGTGTTTATAGGGCATAAATAGGAAATGTCCCTGGCCTGCAACTGCAAAGGGTGGGTATGGAGCCTAAAGATGATGAATGAATCCAGGATTAGTCACAATCCAACCGTGCTATGGTTTAAATGTTGTTTGTTCCCTTAAAGGCTTCTATGTGGGGAGCTTGGTGTTCAGGGTGGCAGTATTGAGAGATGATCTGGAACCTTTAAGAGGCAGGGCTTAGTGGGAATTCCTGGCTCAACTGGGAGTGTGCCCTTAAAGGGAACTAAGGCCGTCTTCCAGAGAACCCTGGTTAGTTTTCAGGAGAGGATTATTACAAAAGCACGAGCCTGGCCCCACCTAGCCTTTCTCTGGCTTCTTCTGTAGAGATGTAATGACTTCCTGTGTGGAGATGTATTTACTTCCTGAGTATAATTTCTTCCCCAGTGGAGATGTAATTACTCAGCCCCACATGCCCTCCCACCACTGCCATCTGCCACAAGGTAGCGCAGCTAAAGGGAGGAGCCCTTACTAGAACCCATACCATGTTGTTTGACTTTCACTGCCAAAATTGTGAGTTAAATCAACCTCTCTTTTTTATAAAGTTAGCCACCTCAAGTAATTCATTAAACTGACAAAAAGCTAAGGAATAAAGGCTGTTAGTGAAGTTAGACACAGCAGTTCACAGTCATCAGATCTGAGTTCTCCCTGTGCCCACACTGGGTTAGCTGTTGCCGTTTGAGCAGATCTGTCCCAGGCCATCAATTTACAAAAGGAAAAGCAAGCCGGCCTTAGCTGTGGGCAAGCAAGGATGGACTCTTGCTCCTCTCAAATCCACCTTTCCCCTGAGCAGACGAAGAAACAGAAGTCCGGAGTCTATGTTCTGTTCTCTAACCTCAAGACCTCCGTAGAGACTAATGGTTTTAACCTTGAAAACCATGACGAATGCGCAGGGTCTGTGTTTCTCATTTTTCAAATTACCCTGTCGGGCATCTGATATTCCTGGTGGCTTCCACCGTCCAGAAACCCGCCAATTATTCTAAAGAGGCCACACGCATGCTGTCCTCTGAGCTATGAGACCCGGGACCAGGTACCTCGTGGAGAACACAGTGTGTCTGACACCCACAGCCTGGAAATGGGCAAGACTCAGAACCCCTCTGTGGTAGACGTGTGTCTCGGGGTGCGACTCGTCTGTGAATGACACCATGGAAGTAAAGCTGCTGGCTCTGATGCCACCCCAAGGCTGTGGATGGTTTCCCCACAAGGCCTCAAAGAGACACGTTTTCCTGGGAGACCTCAAGTTCTTGCTACATTGGCAGTTGGAGAGATTTGTGTTCTGTCATCATTTCAAATCTTCTCTTTCCCTTCATCCCATCTCCATAGCCCCAACAAAAGTGGCCATTCTTTCCTCAAAAGCAGAGCTTCCTAATGGGTTCGTGTACCTGGGCAGCAATGTAACTGGCATCAGCTTGAGACAGTGCATGGATGCCCGTGCTCTAAAATTGCTTTCTAGCAAAAAGATTCTATCTTTGTTCCTTCTGTATCCTGCTGCCTGCACGGCGTATTCCAGAAAACTGCGTTTTACATAACTTCTTACCCTCCAATTCCCAAACAGATGAACCTTAGCTTGACTTTCCTCGTCTTCTTAGATGGAGAGTAGATGGAACCCACCAGAAAGCAATCAGGATGACAAGGACATTCACAACAGATCAGTCTGAGGCAATTTTATGCTCTCTGAAACAGCCAGACTCCTGCCAGGTAAAAATTACTCAAAGCATAGTCCTTGACTGTGACTTAGAGCCAACTGTTTTAAGTTTTCATGTTTCTCCAAAATCAGTTCTCTGTTTTGTAAATAAACATGTAGCCAGGCAGCTGTTAGAGAAGATGACATCTCAAATAAACAAAGTTATTTTAAATTTTTCTATCAGGAGATTTTGCCACGGGACATCTTAGGAGCCAGCTGCAAATGAGAATACACCATGAGGGGAGTCTCCACTCTGGGCCCTGGCAAGTTGCTCCCTGATTCTGTGCTTTCTAGTTTGTTCTCTGCTTTAAAAAATAAAAAGAAGACTAGGGCCGGAGCTGTGGGGTAGCGGGTAAAGCTGCCGCCTGCAGTGCCGGCATCCCATATAGGCGCCAGTTCAAGTCCCGGCTGCTCCTCTTCCAATCCAGCTCTCTGCTATGGCCTGGGAAAGCAATACAAGATGGTCCTTGGGCCCCTGCATCTGCATGGGAGACCTGGAAGAAGCTCCTGGTTCCTGGCTTCAGATCAGTGCAGCTCCAGCCATTGTGGCCATTTGGGGAGTGAACCAGCAGATGGAAGACCTCTCTCTCTCTGTCTACCTCTCTGTGTAACTCTGACTTTCAAATAAATAAATAAATATTTAAAAATAAAAAGAAGAAAGGAAGGAATGGAGGGAGGGAGGGAAATAGAGGCAGGAGGGAGCGAGGAAGGGAGGGAGGGAGGAAGGGAGGGAGGAAGGAATAACCTCATACTTGGTTTATATTTTAGAACTGAATGTACAGGCACAGTACTTCCTCTTAGCACCCACATAGGATGACTGTGAAGTGAGCTGACAGTTTATAAGGTATGGTTTATTAAGCAGCCAATTTTATTGAATTGAATGTTCACTGGCATTAGTCTATCAGCTGTTCAGACTTAACATGTAAAATGTTAAATAAATAATATTTCATACATTCGAAGATCCCCTTGGATGAAAACAAGAAGCCAATGACAGCTGAGTAACAGGATGAAGGCTTCTTGATAAGGCTTTTTGGAGTCTGGGGCCTCCCTGAAGAAGGCTGGCATCTGTGTGAACCGCAGAGCAGCGACAGCGCGGTGCCTCCTAGACGACTGCATTCCTTTTTTAATATAAAGCTTTCATTTAATAAATAGAACTTTCATAAGTACAACTTTTGGATTATAGTGGTTCTTCTCCCCATACTTCCCTCCCATTCCACCTCCTACTCCCTCTCCCATCCCATTCTTCATTAAGATTTGTTTTTAATTATCTTTATATACAGAATGTCAACTCTATATTAAGTAAAGATTTCAACAGTTTGCACACACACACACAAAGTATAAAGTACTGTTTGAAGACTAGTTTTACTGTTAATTCTCATAGTACAACACATTAAGGACAGAGGTCCTACATGGGGAGCAAGTGCACAGTGACTCCTGTTGTTGACTTAACAATTGACACTCTTATTCATGATGTCAATGATCACCTGAGGCTGTAGTCATGAGCTGCCAAGGCTATGGAAGCCTTTTGAGTTTGCCAGCTCTGATCTTATTTAGACAAGGCCATAGTCAAAGTAGAAGTTCTCTCCTCCCTTCAGAGAAAAGTACCTCCTTCTTTGATGGCCCATTCTTTCCACTGGGATCTCACTCACAGAGATCTTTCATTTAGGTCATTTTTTGCCACAGTGTCTTGGTTTTCCATGCCTGAAATGCTCTCATGGGCTTTTTAGCCATATACAAATGCCTTAAGGGCTGATTCTGAGGCCAGAGTGCTGTTTAGGGCGTTTGTTATTCCATGAGTCTGCTGTGTAGAGGACTGCATTTCTACTATCAAAAGATGTGGTACCAGGGGCAGACTTTTAGTCTAGCAATTAAGATGCCCATGCTGTGGGTTCAATTCCAGCTCCAGCTCCCTGACTCCAACTTCCTGCTAACTTATATTCTAGAAGGCAATAGAGATAGCTCAAGTAATAGAGTCCCTGCCACCACATGGGAGACTGGATTTGATTCCTAGCTCCTGGTTTCAGCCCCAGCTAAAATTTCAAAATATTTATGGACAATGTGTACTATGAAAAAACTATGCAGGGAAGTGCTGCAACATAGTGGTTAAAGCCACTGTCTGTGATGCCAGCATCCAATATGGGTGCCTGTTTAAGTCCTGGCTGCTCCACTTCCCATCCAGCTCCCTGCTAATGTGCCTGGGAAAGCAGCAGAAAATGGCCCCAGTGACTGGGCCCCTGTACCAATGTGGAAGGCTTGGAAGAAGCTCCTGGATCAGGGCTAGCCAAGTTCCAGTCAAGGCAGCCATTTGGGGAGTGAACCAGTGGATGGAAGACCTCTCTCTCTCTCTCTCCCTCCCTCCCTCTCTCTCTCTCTCTCTCCCTCTCCCTCTCTCCTTCTCCCTCTTTTTCTCCCTCTCCTTCTCTTTCTCTCTTTGCAACTTTGCTTTTCAAATTAGAAAAAAATCTTTGCATGAATTTAAAAACTTGTTGTACCAGGGGCCGGCACTGTGGTGTAGTGGGTAAAGCCACTGCCTGTGATGCCAGCATCTCACATGGGCACCAGCTCAAGACCCTGCTGCTCCACTTCTGATCTATCTCCCTGATAAAGAGACTGGAAAAGCTGTGGAAGATGGCCTAAGTGCTTGGGCCTCTGTCACCCATGTGAGAGACCTGGAAGAAGCTCCTGACTTGGGACTGGTCTAGTTCCAGCCATTGGAGCCATTCAGAAGGTGAATTAGCAGATGGAAGACCTCTCTCTTTCTGTCACACTCTCTTTTCACTATAATTTCTCACACTCTCTTTCACTATAATTCTGCCTTTCAAATAAAAAAAGCTATGAATGCATTTAAAAAATTACTGCACCAAATTAAGCTTATCTTTTTATTCCATTTTCACAAACTTTTGAAGTACCCTTTTGTATGTCTGTTAGAAAATAGAACTTGAGGGGATCCTTGCAAACACATTTTATGAGGCCAAGATCACACTGATAACCTGAGTCAGACACTGTGAAAAAAAGAAAACTATGGACTATTATCTCTGATGAACACTGATCAAAAATGTCAGTAAAATATTAGCAAACTGAATACAGCAGCATATCAAAAAGATTATACATCATGACTAAGTGAGAGTAAGCCCTGGCATACAAGATTGGTTTAATGGGGCCGGCATTGTGGTAAGGCAGGTTAAGCTGTCATCTGCACTGCCGGTATACCATATGGATACCAGTTCAAGTCCTGGCTGCTTCACTTCTGGTCCAGCTCCCTGCTAATGCACCTGGGAAAGCAGCAGAGGATGGGCCAAGTGCTTGGGCCCCTATATCCACATGGGAGACGCAGAAGAAGCTCCTGGCTCCTGGGTTTGGCCTGGTTCAGCCCCAGCATTTGCAGCCATTTGGGGAGTGAACTAGTGTATGGAATATCCCTCTCTCTCTGTCTTTCCATTTCTCTCTGTAACTCTACCTTTCAAATAAATAAAAATAAATCTTAAAAAAAGCAAATCAATCAATGTGATATATCACATTAACAGAATGAAATATAAAAGCTGCATTATCATCTCAATTGGCACAAAGCAATACTTGGAAAGAAGCAACTCATTTTCTCATTTGAAATTATATTACAAAGCCATGTAATAAAAATATTATGGTTCTGGCGTAAAAACGGAAACACTGATGAGTGGCACAGAATACAGAACTCATAAATAAGTCAAAACATATGCAGCCGACTAATTTTTGGAAAGCACAAGAAGGTACAATGGCAAAGGAACTTTTTTCATTAAAGGATGATGAGAGAACTAGGCTTCCATAGATGAAAGAATGAAATTGGACTCTTACACCACCCCTGAGACTGGGTTATTTATAAACATCAGACATCATTGTTCCAATTTCTGACTATCAGAAATAAGACTGCTGGGAAAGCAGTGGAGGATGGCTCAAGTGTTTGGGACCCTGCACCCACATGGGAGGCCCAGAAAAAGGTCCTGGCTGCTGGCTCTGGATTGGCCTAGCTCTGGCTGTTGTAGTCATTTGGGAAGTGAACCAGCAGACAGAAGATCTCTCTCTCTCTCTCCCTCTCTCTCAATGTCTCTCCCTCTCTTTGTAACTTTGCCTTTCAAATAAATAAAATACATCTTTAAATAAGAAAAAAGAATGAAAGTTGCATTCATGTGTAAGGCTTTGTGTGGTCCTATGCTTTCATTGTTTCTACTGAATGGCTCAGAGTAAAATGACTGACTATACCAAGTGTTGGTGAGGGTTTGGAACAGCCAGAACTTTCATACGTGGGAATGTAAAAATGTTTCAACTACTTTGAACAACTATTTGACAGTTTCCTAAGAAGTTAAGCACACAAATACCATCTGCTCCAACCATTCACTCCTGGGTGTCAAAACTTGCCTAAACTACAGCATATACCATCTTCTTGCCTCTAGTCCTCTGTTGACCCCAATACATCTTCAACCAAGGAGCCCGGGTGATCTTTTTCTGATATTAATCTGATCATATGATTTGCAGACGTGACAGAGATCGGGTCTTCAGTGCTGGTGCTTCCCAGCCCTATATAGTCTATAATACAATCTATAAAGGCCCACAACTGCCTCACCGACCTCTTTCTGCACCCCTCCCTTCTTGCCCTTTTACATAACTAGGGACCATACTATATGATGCTCCCTCTTTAATGCTTTCTCTCCACCCTCACCTCCCTAACTCCTACTCAATCCCAGTCCCCTGGCCCAGGACCATTTACTTGGTTTCAGGATTAGCCAGGCTTGGAGCTGGTACTGATCTTAGATTATATGGTTAACCCTTATTACGTTTAAACTCATGGGTAAGTTGCAGTGCAGAGTTGTAAAAGGACTCATGTGAATGACGCTGTCAGATTTTAGACAGAGATTTTAGAGCCCAAATCTTCCACAATCTTGGATTTTTAAGGAAAACACAAAGTGCATTTAACTGCATGGTAGCAGAGTAGGGTAGAGAATAGGAAATTTAGTATGCTCACTCTCGTGTGTTACCTTGAATAGCACCTGGCACACAGTCAGTCTCTATAAATGCCTGTTAATAAATAAATGAATAAATGCCCCTACCATGTGCAATGTAAATCTGTATTATTGTAGTTAAGTTGTGAGAAGGGTGTGATACCATGTGTTGTTTCCAATGCCTTTCCCCCTGCCAATCTCCTGCTATACTTTAAAATAAGCACAAATATGAAGTAGTTTAGAAATGAGTGTCTGAAACAACCAAAAAGCACATTTTAAAAGACATAAAGATACATGAAATAAATATGAAGCTAGTTTAAAAACTGTTTCCTTGCTTCTCCTTGGCTACACTACAAAGCGATGGTTCCTAAGTTTAGCTTGTTGTTAGAAGCATCTTATGGAAAAAGATGTTCCATGCTAATAGAAACCAAGAAGGAGTTGGTATAGAAATCCTAATATCAGACAAAATAGACTTTAACACAGAAACTGTTAAAAGAGACAAAGAAGGACACTATGTAATGAATCAATTCTGTCGCTCCCCCTCTTCATGGAGGAGCAACACAGGACCCTGCGCTGTTCTTTCATCTGCTCGGCCCTCCCCGGGTTTGCTGCTGGTTCTTCCCGGGTTGGCTACTATCCCTTCCACCTCCGTGGAAGGGCAGTTCCCCCTGGCCACATTCCCCACTTCCGCAGGGGAGCGGCACACCGCCGGCCGGCTTTCTCGGGGGCTGCACGGGTTCCCTTAGATGTTCCCCATAGATGTTCCCCATAGATGTTCCTGGTGCATGCCGTCTCTCTCCTCCTTTATAGTCCTCCTCCGCCAATCCTAACTCGGCTGCCCACACGCCGAGTACGCTGCTCTCCTCCAATCAATAGCAAGTCCTACAGTTTATTAGTTGAACTGGAGGCAGCTGTGTGGAAGCTGTTTACTTCTCTCCCAGCGCCATATTGTGGGAGAGCAGATGCATAGAATAAGTCTTAATTCCAGTAACTCAGTCTAGTCCGGATTGCTCCCCACAAATTCAACAGGAAGATGTGGCTATAATAAATGTATATGCACCCAATTACAGGGCACCTGGCTATTTAAAAGAAATGTTAAGGGACCTAAAGGGAGACCTAGACTCAAATACAATAGTAATGGGAAACTTCAACACCCCACTTTCAGCAATGGACAGATCAACCAGACAGAAAATCAGCAAGCAAACAACAGAGTTAATCAACACTACAGACCAAATAGACCTAATGGGTATCTACAAAACTTTTCATCCTACAGTCACAGAATACACATTCGTCTTACCACTGCATGGAACCTTCCATAGATGAGACCACACGCTAGGCCATAAAGCAAGTCTCATCAAATTCAAACAAATTGAAATCATACCATGCATCTTTTCAAATC